AGGAGGACAGTCAAGGCATCGACCTTACCGCGAAGAATTTGAGGCAATAGCTCTCCAACCTTGAATGTCAGTTCACCGGCTCCGTTGATTGTTCGGTTCTGTTCCAGAATGTCAAGCGATGGAGCTTCTGCTGGGCCAGCCTTTTCACAGGTCTTCTGGGCCCAGCGGTAGAACTTCTGATGCTGAGGCTCAAAGGTGGAGATCTCATCCTCCGAAACCGACTTCAGCATTTTCCGCAGGTAGTACTCTGCGACAGATTCCAATTGCTGCATGCGTTTGATCCCTTGCGTTGTATCGGTCTCTGGACGTGCAAGCTGACGGTAATCATCGCTAGAGAGGAAGTCAAAGCAAGGCTCATATTGCAGCTTGTAGCAAATTTGGTCTGGGGCATTGTCCTTGGATCCCTTGATGTCATTTGACACAGGCACCAAAGTGATACCACTAATGTCAATCAACAGATTGGCCGAGTTGCTCGGATCGGTAGCAAAGATACGGTTGTTTTCGGGGTCGGCAGCAGATTCACTACCGGACTGCTGACCGTATAGTTGAAGCTTGGTGCCAGCAGTGATTTCTTGATTCAATGAAACTGAGACACTCTTCACATGCGACGGGACGTGGGTGACCTGAGGTCCCGGCTCACCATAGCCACGGAGAACCCACATAATCTGACTACACAGATCAAGTGTGACTGGGTGGACGATACATGGGGTCTCGTACTCATGAGGCATGGCTGCTTTGGTATCTGGAACACAGATGGTGGCCATTGCCCGACAGTCTTTGTCGACCGAGATATCAGTCAATCTTCGGAAAAGAGGACCATAGTGGACACCACCGCCCGAGATGTTCTTGTAGAGAACCTTGCTGTCGATCGGTACATTGCAAGCGTGGCGCATGTCCAGTGCTTCTTGTGCAAAGTGAGCAGTTGTCTCAAGCTGCTGTCGAGAACCATCAACAGGATTGACATCCTTGGCTTCTTGAACCATGATGAAGCCGTTGCAGTGTTGATCCCACCCACGGCCTTCGGCCCATGAAAAAACTTTGAACTCGTGCCAGCCGAGGACAGATTTGCTAGGGGCCTCAGTGCGACATGGGCGCAAGCTGAGCATGGTCTCTACGGACAGGTTGTCCGGGACTGTGAGGACGCGATTGATGAAAATGTCGCGCAGGTCGATCTTGCCTGGGGTGATGTGATGGATCTGTGCATGCTGGGAGATGGCCTCCATAGCCATGGCCAGGAATCCCGTCATGGGATACACGTTGCTCTCGTGAACTCTGTGTTCACGAATCCAAGGGTGGTCATCGGCGCGGATGGTATTCCTCCATCGGGGCTCGAAGTCCACGTTCTCCATGGTAAGTGAGCCAAGGATATCACTGCGAGGGAATTGGCGATGGAAATGATTATCGCCTAGTCGCGAATTGAACCAGTACCTTTCCGTGTGGTTCCAGGGATATTTTGGCAAATTGGTCACTACAGAGGGCTTCCTCGGTGATTGGCTGAGGTTAGGGAAGTTGATGGCCTGGAAGTTAAGGGTCATCCCATTCATGAACAAGGAGCCAGCCAGGTTCTGGACGGCCTCAATGGCGTCGACTTTCCGCTTCAGGGTGTGGAAATATTGCACATTACTCTTCGGGGCGTGGATCTGGGCAATATCTTTGACAGGAGTTTGCAGAGCAGGGTGAGGGCCAATCTCGACCAAGGTGCTGACGGGAGATACGGCCTGCTCATCTGTCAAGAGACTCTTCACGCCCTTCACAAATTCAACTCGGGAGATCAAGTTGTCAACCCAGTATGACGCATTCAAAGTGCTTCCTGGGACCAATTTGCCATGCACGGTTGAGTGGAACGGAATTGCTGAGTCCCGGGGCGCGATTTTACCGAGTAACGACCGATACTGCTGCGAGACAATCTTCATATGGTGAGAGTGGTAGGCAACATCAACTTGCAGTCTCCGAGTGAAGATGCCCTCCTTGTCCAATGCGTTTTGGAGATCGGTGATGACTTCTGCATCACCTGACAAGGTGACACTAGACTCGCTGTTTACACATGCAATGACAGCGCGGTTGCCACGCATAGCATCCAGGATTTGCTGGATGTCTGAAGCGCTAGCTCCAACGGCCAACATACCACCCTTGATGGATTTGTCATTCGCAACTAGGTTGGCTGCAACGCCACGAGAGTAAGCAACACGGACGCACTCCTCTAGTGTCAAGATGCCAGCCGCATAAGCCGCTGCAATCTCTCCACTGGAGTGACCAACCACTGCTTTCGGATGGATACCCCATGATGAGAGCAGGTCCACCAAGGCCAATTGCACTGCAGTACACGCAGGCTGGCTCATATATGCTGCCGAGATCGAGCTGGCGTTGGGGTCGGTCAAGAGTAGTTCGTCTTTGAAAATGTTAGTACATTCCAAGGGAACACCTTGTTGGAGTGCGACATACCGATAATCGAGAAGGAGGCACCAAGCAACTTCAGACATCCATCCACGGACTTCATCGTTTGCTCGAAGACGGGATAAGTGCTAAGGAGCTCCTTGCCCATCCCATGCCATTGTGCACCCTGTCCAGTGAAGACGAAGCCAATAGTAGGCTCCCTGGAGGAGCGAACAGGCTCAGTGTTCAAGAGAGATGTATTCAACTCCGCAGGCAGCTGTGAAGAAATGGCGAACCTCCACGGGAGGAAGCTTCGGCGCTGGCCCAGCGTATAGACCATGTTATCCAGGAGACTATCGTTGAATACCGGTGGGTAAAGGTCGAGATATCCACCGAGCCCTTTGCCCATCTGAATGGCGGCCTGCTTGTCATACCCAGAGACGACATACAGTTTGCGCTTTAGAGGGTCTGCGTATGCGGCACCTTCACCTTCATGGCGGGGGCCACGCTCGAGAATAACATGGGCGTTGGTCCCGCCAAAGCCGAAGTTATTCACACTTGCGTAGGGCTTGCCGCGAGGCCATGGCATCAATTTCTTGGGAACCTGTCGGGTTTTGTTTAGTAAGTGTCTTGTTCATCATTGCCGGTACTGTCTTACTTTCATATTCCATTTATCCATTGGAATCTCATCATTGGCCTTCTCGAAGTTACAATTGGGAGGGACGAAGCCTCGCTCAAGTGCCAGCGCAGTCTTGATCACAGAAACAACTCCACTAGTCCCCTCCAGATGACCAATGTTCGACTTGACAGAGCCAATGAGCAAGGGCTGTCGTGGAGTCCGTCCTTCACCGAAGACAGCATTGAGCGCCGTCGCCTCGAGCGGGTCACCGACTTTGGTGCCAGTACCATGCGCTTCAACGAATCCGACCAATTTAGGATCGATCCGTGCTTCCTTATACACTTGACGAATCAGTGCTTCTTGGGCTTCCCCGTTCGGCATTGCAATACCTCTGGTGCGTCCATCTTGATTAAGACCACTGTTCACAATGACAGATCGAATCGCGTCACCAGCGGCCTCTGCGTCTTCAAGAGATTTCAATATAATACATCCTGCACCTTCACCTCGGCCAAATCCAGTTGCCCGATGATCAAATGCATACGACCGGCCGGTGTCGGAGAGCAATCTTTCCGGTCAACTTGTTAGTGTCTGCCAAAGAAAATCCCAAAATTTGCCCTTACCTAGAACGAGTCATAGACACAAAGGCCTCTGGAATAATGTTCAAGTGGCATCCTCCTACAATCGCGAGCGAACATTCGCCATTTCGAATACTTTGCGAAGCCAGATGCAGAGCAGATAAACTGGAAGAACAAGCCGTATCGACTGAAACACTGGGCCCGTTCAAGTCGAAATAATAAGAGACACGGTTTGCCTGCAATGCCATAGCTGTACCAGTAGCCGCATACATAGGGATGCCGTCGATATCCCTCGTGTTGTTGATTTCATAGTCGGGAAATGAGCCACCGGCGAAAACACCCACCTTGGTTCCAACGATATCCTGCTGCGGAATACCGGCATTTTCGAGAGCTTCATATACACATTCAAGGAAAATACGCTGTTGCGGATCCATGGATCGGGCTTCTTGGAGGGTGATATTGAAGAAAGGCGCATCGAACAATCCGAGATCTTCTTTCAGGAAATGGGCTCCTAATGGGTTGAATGAGCCAGGACGATCCTGCTGAGGGTGGTAGAAGGCATCAGCGTTGAATCGGCTCTTCGGAACCGGCGACCAGGCACTGCGGCCTCGGGAACAGAGGTCCCAAAATTCGTCGGGCGTAGAAACCTCGCCTGGGAGGCGGCAGGACATGCCGATAATGGCCATACGCTTTGGGGCGTTACCGGTGACTTCGGTTTCGGGGATTGTGGCGGGCTCGATGACTGGTGTGCCAGTCCCGGAGGGTTGTTGGAGACGCATTGTGGATAGAATCGGATCTTGTCTGGAGTTTTGAGGTCTAATTATGTACCTGGCACTGTCATCACCAAAGTCCAGCAAGAGTCCAGAGGAACGAGCGTCGAATTTCGAGAAGAAATGTAATATATAGACAATATGATCACGAAGGGACAAATTGGGCAATCAGTAGAAGTACTTGGAAGAGGAAACGAAGGGCGATATCAATTGTTAGCAAGCGCAATCCCTTGCATATTCAAACAAGCGTGCGCGTGCTGATCTTTGGTCTGCACTTCCCCGATTGAAGGGGAAGGCGAATCGGGCAAGGATACCTGGCGTCGAGGTCCATGCCTTCTTCCTTGATGACGCATACCACTAGCAGGTGCATCGACGGGATCCTACAGGCACATGCATACATCCCTCTCCACTCGTTAGTCTCTTCCAGGGCTGCAGATCGAAATCAGTAGATCGGATCGTGTCTTGCCCGGATGTTTCGAGTTGCCAATGTTCTGTGGCCCTTGCTAAGGCGAGGGTGCATTCCAGCAAAGGGGCAAAATCCCCGACCCTGGCAGATTCTTAGTGGCATCATTCTCTCCCCTCGCGCGAATCCTACAAAATGCTCCGAGTGGTATCTGCCGTACGCCATTGACAGCTCGAATCGGTCGTGTTGAATCAGCCGCAATGAAGTTCCTTTGTCTGCCGGGAGGCTACTGCAACATCACGGTATGTCATAGTTCACTGTATTGTAAAGAAAAACACTAACGAATGCCAGTCATTCACAACCCAACTAGGTAAGATACCACGTTGGAAGGTCCAGGTCGAAGGTTGGACGTTGAAAGAGAGTCTAACGTGGGTCCAGGACCATTTGCCGACGCGCTCCGCGCGCTTGACCCAACCGAGTTCTTCTACACTCAAGGCGAGTTCAGAGTGTATGTCCCAGACGAACATGCCGGGTTTTTCGGTCCTCCTCCGAACTGGACGTTTGCAAGCCCAGACGGGCCAGACCAGATGTTGATTAACATGAGCGACTTCCCGAGACGCGACACGCCGGAGGACGCCATGAACGTGGCAAATGATTTGGCCGGTAAACCCACATTCTCGTGTATGCCTGCTGTCATGGATCGCCTGATAAAGATCCTTGACAGCGAAGGCGATATTGATGGAGTGATTGGCTACTCCGAGGGTGCTCAGGTGGCTGCATCGCTCTGTCTTGAGGAAACTAGAAGATTGGAAGAATTTGGCCGGACCCCTCGATTGAAATGCGCGGTATTTTTCTGTGGATGGCCTCCTATTCACCCGGCCACTGGGAAACTTGTTTTGGCTACGGATTACGAGCAAGATGCCATTACCATTCCTACCTGCCACATCGTCGGTGCGTCTGATCCATTTGTTGATGGCTCTATGGCGCTGTACAATATGTGTGATCCGGACACTGCTGATCTCTTTGACCATGGAGGTGGTCATGTCCTTCCAAGAGGAAAGAAGATACTCGACGAGCTGGCTCCAATTGTACGCGATATGATTGCCTCCGTGTCTTGATCTCTACTGTTGTATACTTGCTTTTTCCCCAAATATAAAAAGAAACGTGCTTATACTTACGCGGTGCTTGAGCTCTACACTGTGTAGCACTAGATCATTGTTTGAATCCCACATAAACATAGATACAGGTATAGCAATAATTATCAAAGACTACACCAACAACGGCCTCGTTTCCGCCTCCTCCCCGTCTTCAGCATCCGTCCCACGACCCTTTCCAGGAAACAAAGCAAGGAAAGAACCAATCCTCAAATCCCAAGGTTGCCGATCATCGCCACTCTCTCGATCACTAACCCGATCATACTCAGTCTCTTTCCAACGCCGTCTTACACACTGTACAAGCCAAACAATCCCAAATACCACCCCGCCAAACGCCACCGTCCCCAGAACAGCAATCATAACTGACAGAACAGTCAACGTACTCGCATGACAGCCTAGCGGCAGCGCCCTAAGCTCCCACCTCTCCTTAGAACCAAGCGGGCAAATAGACTCAGAGCCTATAGGCGCGAATATCGGAACCCGCGCTGTATTCGGCACGCAAGTCGAGGACTATAATGCATCAACCCATAGTCAGTCTCGTTCTCTTTCTCTATACTGTATCACTTTCCAGTACGGTGAAGGGGCTGATCATGCCGATCAGGTACGGATCCGGGTGTATAGCTTTTCGAAACCCCTCTCTCCCTCTCCCCATCCCCATTCCAGAGGCTGGGAAGCAAGGGAGTACGATGTGAAACAACAGTGGGGAATTTGGCGGAATAGAATGTGGCCAAAGAAGGGAGAAGGTAAAAAGTCAATTCAAATCAATGACGGGCGCATGCACGTAGCCGGGGGATCAGTGCAGTGTTGGGTTGTTGTGGCTTGAGGGTTTGGTGTAGATGGGAAGAGGGTGTATGGGTTGACCTACTATCGCGCACCAGCTGCAGGGAACGTCGCCTGCTAAACAGCTTAGACAAGACTGTCGACGCCAGCAAACATGGAAGAAGGGGTCGTTGTCTTCAAAGATGTTCAGGTGGGTGCTGTTGTTTCCTAGGAGCTCGAGGTCCATTGTGGTGATCTGGGGCACATGTAAGGTGCTTGAATGTGTAGGGGAAGGTTGGTCCTGTCTGTGCCTGGTGCTAATTCTGCTATTCTCCTTGCATTTGTGGAAGGAAATGGCGGAGAAAACAATAAAGCGTTGGACTAGAGACGTCGGGTTCTCTTTGTCTGCGGGGTGATGTATACTCGTCACTGTGAGCCAAACCCTAGAGACTTTGAAAAGACTGGACGGAGCTTCTTTGGCTTTTGTATATGCAGGGCTTTATTGTATATACCATATTGCATATGCCCATGTGCAATTAATTGGATTCTGGAATTGACAAATAGTAGCATCCTTTATAGACCGCACATCTACAACTCAAAGATCACCCGTTCACTGTGCCCAGGTAGTAGTACAGGTTTATATTATGTAGACTAAGGATGGTCGCATGACACCATAGCGTGAAAACGTGATACATTTCCTGGTGAATTGCACTGGGAAGCCCAGCATGTTCAAATCCACCACATATTCGTCCAACATCAGAAAAAAAGATATTCAATCCGAAGTAACGACAAGTCCAAATCAGACCACGCGCTTGACCTGCAGATCAAAAAAAGAATTAGCATCCCATCTCCATCTTGGGTCACAACCCAATTGAAGAAACCAACATACCTCGAAGAATCTCTTGAGCCACCACACCTGGAACACACCCTCACCAATAACGACCGCCAGCTGGAACATACTCCACCACTTCACACGGCCGTTGGTGCTCTCGGCCGTATTGCGGTGTACCCGCTCACGCACCACAATGTACGACTGCTCGTCCTTCACCTGTGTCAAAGCTTCGGAGAGTTTGCGAACTAGATATTCCAATTGATCAGTCCATGGTTCTCTTCCAACAATTTTTCCTCCCACTCTATCCAGCATGCGATATCCTATATCCATTGTGGCGCTTACCTTCGGCCTCGAGGGGATCCTGCGACATCTCAGATTCAGGCACGTAGACGATTCCGTGAACGTTGAAGGAAACCTCCTTGGAGTTGGAGGTCCAGCCCTCATTGCTGAAACAGTAGTTGTATTTGCCGTCGGCCTGTGCGGTGAACGAGTAGTCTTCGGATGAAACGGCTTGCTTGAAGTACTGGCGGTTCCTCAGGGGATCCTCGACCTAGAGCGTGGCGAGCGATCGTTAGCATTGAAGCTAGACAAAAAGCGTTCTGGCTGAATCGAATTGGATTCATCGTCCATCGCTTGCTCCCGTTTTGAATGGTATATGCCCCTCTCCATCCTATTCAATCCATCCAGTCCACCATTCAAGAACCACCAAGCGACAGAATGGGGGGGGAACCAAGACGCCAGAAGGATGCCATACCCAGAAATCAATCTCGAGGTTTCCACTTCCTCCAAACTCCCGGTCTCCAACCTGGAAGGTAACAGTCATCACATCATCGCGGTGCAGGTTCTCGTGGAAACATTCTCGTGAGTGGGCCTTGAGCGGGATAGTGTGTGCGGTGGCGGCGCTGAGGTACCCCAGCGCGGTTACTAGGATAGTTGTTGCTGAGAAGCGCATTGTGACGGTGTGATGGATTGAGGTGAGGTGTGAATCTGTGAATCGGGTTGTTAACGCGCAAGGTGTCAATTCGTGACGCTCGGACCATGTCAAATAAACAGCGCTCCGCCTTTGCCTGGGTGAGATACATCGGGAATACTGTAGGAATCTTGGTTTTTTTTTTGTATTTCTAGGGTCAACGTATGTGCATTTGTTAGACTTAGCATATATAGAAGTAAGAAAAAGTGTGCAATCAGTGACTTTATAAAGGTGATTCTGCAAATATATATCTTGTTCCTCTATGCAACATCCACACTAGAAAATATATGTATTACTGCAGGACCGATGATTCCAAACGTGACACTTATTATCCATTTCGATTCAAGAGTAATGTCTGTTAAAACAACAACACAAAAGTACAAGTCTTGACGCATAAGTGGATAATGAATGATGTACTTTTGGCAGAATCCAATGATAATAGTGCCAGCTCTAACAGCAGCACAGCTCTAGTGAACAAGAACCAACATAGAAAACTCTCATAGATTGATACTCGTACAATAAACCACAAAAAGTCGACCTTAGTTTAACCTAAATTCAACAAGAAGCAGCTACAAGAAGTAGAAAACACAGGGTAGCAATCCACAGAAACATCCAAGAAGGGTTGTAGAGGACATAAATAAGGTAATATAGTAACAGGAAGAAGGATAAAAGAGTGACACAATAACTATTAATATGTATAGAAGTGGGAAGTAAACGATAGGACAGGAGAAAAAGGGGTGTGTGTAAGTGTAAATCAAATCAAGATAGATAATCAATGTACAAGTTTTGGCGAAGAGAAGCAAAATCAAACAAAAACGTAAGCAAAAAACGGGGTGGTATCAAATCCGAAAACACGCAAACATCGATCAACACGGGGATGAAGCCGAAAGATATGATATGTATGTCGAGACAGGGGGAATATGGTAGATATAATGAGAGGAGAGAAATTGAGAATTGGAGGAGAGGTGAGTGGGAGAGGCAGCGCTGTAAGCAACGAAGAACGCAAGAGATAAGGTGGCAAGATCTGACAATAGAAAGGGAACAAAAGAAACAGAAACAGAAACAGAACCAGAACCAGAACCAGAAACTCAAGACAAATTTATACGGGAGAAGATCAACAGCTAACGGCTTCTGCTATCACTCATGCTCAGCAGGACTCGGACTCAGCTCGTCTTCGCCTTCTCCTTCACCTTCAAGCTCAGCCTCCTCAACCTCATCTTCAGCCTCAGCAATCTGAGGCCCAAAGGGACCATCATCCGTGCCCTTCGGTGAAGCCGAAACCATCCCATCAACAGTACTCTCGTTTTCGTCGAAGTGCCCCTCCTCATAATTCGCTGGCTCGGCATCATGATCATAGCTTGAGCGACGAAGCAGAGGCGGAGTCTTTGGTGGTTCAGGGACGGGGGCATCCTTACGAACAGAGCCCCGTCTCGGGGTAGAAGTGAAACCTCTCAAGGGCCGCGTCTCGGCGAAATGCGCAGCAGCGCTGGTCTGTGGTGCGTTTTGGCGGACGTGGGAACTTGGGGGTGTCAGGAGGCCGGAGAGGAAGGTACCGGCATTACTGGGCTTCGATGGGGTCTGGTCGGATGGACCTGTGGCGTTGTCGCGGGCCTTGCGCCAGTTTCCCCACGCTGCGGCTGCGGCGAGCGGGAGAGAGCGGGGTGAGGCGGCGAGGTCTGAGAGGGATGGGAGAGCGCCGGATGTCATGCGTTCCTTTTCTTGCTGTTGCATTTGGAGGTTGGCCTTGAGACGGATGGCTGCGTCGCGGACGGCGTGTTGGTTAAATGAGGGCTGCGAGACGGTCTTGATAATATCCTGTAGATCGTCGATGCGGACGCCTAGAAGCTCGCGTAACCAGGTGATTTCAGTGTCCCGTTCCTTGATCTTGGTTGGTGCATCCTTATCCATCGTGGAAATCTCCTGCTCGAGTTCCTCGATGCGGGTCTCGCGCTGCTGGAGCTGATCCTGGAGCACGAAGATTGATTCACGCAGAGCTTGAGGGGAGATCCGCTCGGGTTCTCCAGAACTCTTGCTGAAAGACATTGAAGGCGTCGCCCGAGAATGCGAGGGCGCTGGAGTTGGGGCCGATGATGGAACAGGGCTTGCCTTGGCACTATGAGCTGCCTCAGCAGCAGCACGAGCAGCAGACTGAGCAATCTCGAGCTTCTCCTCAAGATGCTGCACCCGCTCCTGGAAGTGCTTGGCCTTGTCCTCCGCCAGAGAGACACGCTCATTGGTATGGTGCTCACCGCGCTGGCGATCCTCTGAAGAATTGTGCAGAGCGCGTGCGTGACGCTCACGCAGGTCATTGAGAACCCGCTCGTGCATCTTGCGCGTCTCGTCGATGGCAAGGTCCTTGGCAGCCAAAGCGCTGACCTTGGAGTCCCTGGCCTCCTCCAGGAG